TTGGCTATTCTGCTATGAGACAGAATCCTGTGTTTATGTTTGTATTGTAACATACCTGGAATCATGTATGACCAATGACAACCAAATTATTCCGAATTTAAGATGCATAAGGATTGCTTACTGGCTGCTGGAGGGAAGTGACTGTTGTGATCTGGCACAGCTGTAGCAGAGCTGGGAGGACTTCTGGCATTGGCACAGGCCAGGGTAGAAAGCCACTTCCTCCCCTTCTGGCTGTGTTCACACACAATTGCAGCCAATCATGGTCAAGCTGAGGAGCATGCTCTGGGAGTGAACCAGAGAGAAAACCTCTTCCCTCTAGTCCACTCCATGACTACATAGGCCAGTCGTGCCCTACACTCAGCCTCAGTCAGCACTGGATTCCCCATCCTCCCACCCCAAGTGTTATTCTGCAGGTCTGTCCATGGATAATCAGGCAGACCTTGTGTACGAACTTGCTATGGAAATTTTTGGTCAGTGTATTCAGGGCCAGGGAGGAATTTGTCTTCAGACAATATTGGGCCTGTCTGAGAGTTCTGCCTTCCTCATAGCAACTGTCAGATCTTGATGGCAGATAAAGCATTGGGTTGAAACCTTAGTCAAGGTGGGTGAAAGGGGGCTGGGATCCTCACCCCCTGGTCCAAGGAATCAGGGTAGTCCATTAAAAGGATGTAGGGGGAGGTGCTTCTGTCCAGACATCCAGTTGGGGGATGATGGGCCATAGCACTCCCTAAAATGGTGATCTTGAAGGGGGTTACCTTGGTTAATCCTGACAAATAATCAACCAGCAGCAGGATGATTCATGGCTTCACTGGGCCTAGACCCACAAAGGTAGGCTTGCCATGTGTCAGGAAAATTCCTGACATATCCTGGTTTTCGGGTGTAAAAATGGCATTGGGTGGAATTTTGCCAAAGTGGCAAAATGTCTGGGAAAACCCAGAATTATGGCAATGCAATAGAAAAAGCAGAGGAAACAGCTTCAAATCACTATTTTCTGGAAAGGTTTTCCCCAAAACTCAACAATTTTGGTGGTTTTCTAAAAGAAAACTCTTTTGCAGCCCCTTTTCCCAAATAAAATAACATTAAGCAATGGCTCATAAATGCAGCGACCACAGCACACTTACCTCCTATACCATAAGGAGGTTGATAGTTGTAATGAGAAGGTACTCACACATAAGGGCACAATTTATGCATCTCCATGTAGTGGTTGCCTCTTGCACAAGTGCCTTTAAGTTTTGAGCACAGTGGTAGACTCACATGTCCACAGTCTTTGAGGTGATTGTATGGGATCCACCAACCCTTATTCTTGAAGAAATCCAGCATGGGGTAGGGTGAGGGTTAACCTTTGAACTGTGTACTACAAATGAGAAATAAACAGTTTCAAGCAAGAATGGGTAGGGTATGATAACTTTTTGAGAGATTTCCCACCCTTTGGCATACTCTTCATTTCTAAATTGGATTTTAGGAGGTAATTGGCTAGTTGTTGTTGGAAACAGAATGCTCAACTTGATGGGTCATAGTTTGATTCAGTAAAGCAATTCTCCCGCATTGTTATGTTCTTCCTATCAAATCCAAACCCATTTTGTCCACTCTAAGCCAGGTATGTAGTTGTTTCTCTTCACACAGTAATGTTCACATTGATGTCAAAAGAACACTATATTCCACTCAGCATGCCTCTGTCTAAAGAAGAAAAATTATTTATCTTGGCCTAGCTTACAGTGGTTAGGAATAAAACCCAGAGCCTATTGGATTAAGGAAGAAATGACAAACCAATTTGAGATATTTTTGTACCATGCTGTTGTCACCATTCCGTAGATTTAAGTTCTACAGCCATATATTCATCTACGTCTCTTCAAGAAATATGCAGTGCATATACTCCAAAGTGTAGCATTCTGAACATCTTAACCTGTCCTTTTATTTATTTATTTTGCTGACACATGCCCGCCCAGCAATGCGCTTTACCTTGTAAAAGGTTATTATGATTTACAAAGTTTCTGCCTTAAAGTAAAGAAGCCTATATAAGGCCAGAGGGAGTAGAAATGTCTCCAGGAGACTTCCATTATCAAACATCTCATGCCAAACTCTTCACATGGCAAAATCCATAAATAGAATGAGTGTCAGACCATAGGAAAGTAGTGTCATATATCAAGTTATGTCTATCTGCTTTAGTGTTGACATACATGGGCTCCCTTTGCAGACAATGTAGAAACTGTAGATGATGCAGAATTCAGAGCCCACATTGCTAGCAAAGACCACATACTCTTAACATACAAAACCAATTCTGGTTAAGCTGCACTGTTTGCAGATTCATCTCTGAGCCCAGTGCAATATGTTGGTTTTAACTTATAAGGCAGTACATGACTTGAAAACATCATTCTTGTGAGATGTCTTTTGCTACCTAGACCCTGAGATCATAACTGGAGGACTATATTTACAAGAGCCTTCCAACAGAAGTCCAGAAGATGACAACAAGAGATCAGACCTCTTTACTAGTGTCCCATTGCAAGTAAAATGCTCACCCCAGGGAGAGTCACCTGGTTCCGACATTAATATTTCAACCCCATGTTAACATGGGTTGGCATTTTATCTGGGTAATCTTCTGGTGATCTTATGCATATCGGAGGAAAATAGGCATTTGTTATTTATAATTACTGTATGGTCACTTTTAGGTTGTTGGCTTTCTGGTCTCAAATATTGCAATTCATATTGAAGTTATTTTCACAAGTCACTTTGAGACTTCCTTATGCAAAACAACAATTAAAGTGTATGATGGTAATAAGAATAAGAAGCTGCACATCCAACGTGAATTGTGTCTTTTTATATGCTTGTCCCTGTTGTTTCTTGAAACCCATTTTTACATGGCCTAATAACATGTACAGGTACATTTTCATTGATACTCTGGGGTTCAAGATCTTGGGAACATCTCAAGACGTACTGCTAGACACAAACAACTTACAGGCTGCAGGATCACTAAGTGGGTGGGTGAATTTGAGAACAAAAGAAAGGCAAACCGATTGTTCTCCAGCACTGGCTAGGTGTCAGTATTTACAGCATAAAAATGACCACTAGCTTGATCAACATGGTCAACTAAAGTTAAAGTCCAGGTGAACATCATATGAGCTGGTTCTGGATGTTGCCACAAGGGGGAATTGTGAACAAACAGTTGGAACAAAGAGCAAACTACAGTAGAAGACAAGACTGACTTTACACATGGGTTAAAGTATAACAGATTATACTGAGTTGCTCAATACTGTACTAAGCATGGGTCTTTTGACAAGGACAAAATTTGTTTAATTGCCTTTTCAGCAAGTGCCAGTTACTCTAAATTTCTCCCTTTCTTCCATTTGTCATGAGGAAGGTCTAATTTCTAGAATAAACTAAACACATGTTTGTCTTACCGATTATTATTGTTTCCACAATTGATTATGAGAATTCAGGAAACTCTGCCATACACAACTGGAGTTGAATTCTTTAGGTTCAGGCCTGTCTTGTGCACTTGAATGAAGCAGGACTGAACCACCTGCACATCAGCTGATACATGGGGAGTTCATTCTTGTTTTATACAGGGTTCAACTGCATGATTAACCAATCCAGACATGTCTCTACCTGGCCCAAACAAACATAAATATGATGTATGGGGTTGGGCAGGTGAATGAGCTTTGGAGAAAGCAGCCTGCTGGGCCAAACGTGGAGGGCTGATGGACCAAATCTGGCCCATAGGCCAGAGGTTTTCCATCCCTGATCTCCTAATTTTTGTCATAATTCATCTATTGAATCTGTTACACACACACACACACACACACACACAGAGAGAGAGAGAGAGAGAGAGAGAGAGACTCAGGGAAGTTCAGCTGTTGTTGTTTACAGGCTGTATAAACAGGCACGGTAATTGTTTTCTTCCGCTATTCATTTCAGAAATGAGGCATTGCCAACCCTAATTTATAAAACCACTGGCTACATTTTCACATCTTGCCTGCATGTCCAGTGCTTGGTTAATGAATTTTTCTTTTCTTTAAAAGTACTCACGTGTTAATGGAAGAAACGCATCTATGATTTTAGGCAGTATTTACTCATGCAGTAAATTAATTTCTCCCCTAAAAATAACTCTTGGATATTAAATAGACTGAAATGTATTAACAGAATGTTAAGGATGAATAGTTAAAATTTAAGAAGCTAGAGCATGCTAAAGTCAAAGTTGGCTTCCGTGTATTCACTGCCTATTTTCCTAACCCTCTGCCACTGCAGGATGTCCACTACTACAGGATCCCTGATTGGTAGCCCTCCAGCCTCCACCTGAAGACCTCCATCCCATAGTCTAACAGCTGGTGCCAGCAGAAAGTGCAAATCCTGTACTTTAGGTGAGATCTGATCTATGTACCTGTTATTTGCATGTAGGGTATATTCATGTACAGAGCATAGTGGGACCGTACTTTTAGAAACATAGAAAGCTACTTTATACCATGTCTGACCATTGCCCCATCTAGCTCAATATAGAGTCTCTATCAGGAATCCCGGAAAACCCCAGGCGAGACATTTAAACTACAGTCTTCAAAAATCTTGCCCAGGTTACGTATTTTACCTTTTGCTGCACTGGTTTCATGCAAAATTAAAATAGAAAATGCCAAGCTCAGATTTCAAATTGCAGTCTTCGGTTCTACATCCCAAAGCTATTATTCATTTTTTCATTACTCATTTATTTATTTATTCATATTAAGATGCAAATTCATGCTTGCCTTTATTTAAGTTTGTGTACTATATTTATAATTTCATTTCTGCCTTCCCTTAGTGGCTTCTACTCTCAAGAAGGAAGATGAAAATTCTGAATATGCAATATAAATGTTGATAATGTGAACCATTATCTAGACATGTTGTAGAATCAACTTGCGTGTAAATCCTAGTACTAATACTACTGCTAATAATAAGGAATTATTTTGTCCTAAACATTTACCTACTATTTTTAACCCATCAAACAATGCACCTGCTGGTCCAGATTACCATAGCCACACCTTGGAGCAGTAGTTTAAACTGAATGTTCTTTACGCGCACAAAAGGACACAAGTCACAGTCTCCATTGTGGGTATTTCAGGCTATGTTGGTTGCGATACATTCAGCTTTATCAGCTCTACTTTTGGGGTAGGGTTTTATTTTATTTTTTGTATTCTAGTCTGTAGCTGATTAGCTGTCTCTATTAACATACCGTATTTAAATCAACAGATGGAAGACGTATTCTGCCCAAACAACAACTGTGGGGGGGGGCCATGGAAAACCATTCCAACGAAGGGCCTCTTTTTGTGGAATTATCCAATAAACTTTTTGGCAGCACAAAACAAGCAGAACTAGGATATTACATTGTAGTCTTGTCCCAAAACCTGTCCTCCAATTTTTTGATAAAGTTTACTTCTCCTATCAGAGATTTCTCTGCCTCATTAAAGGATGCTTTAGGATTTCTCCATTATTTTGGTGGATCTCTGGTGGAAGTTACTTTATGATAGTGACGTGGCCAAGGGTGGGGTGTCTGTTTCCCTCCAGCACTCTGTAGCCTCCTTGGCTGCCCATGCTTCCTGATCTGAAAGAAACAAAAGCACAGGAGATGTTTCCACCTGACATCTTCTCCTGGACTTTAATTGAAATGCAGAAAGCCAGGGAGGCCAGCTACCAGTAGTTAGCCGAGTGGTGAAGGAAAGCTATGTCGCAAACCTGTCTTTGCCATGCTGAGCATCACTGCTACTTACCGAGAGGGAGACAGGGAGTGGCAGAGCCAATTAGACACCTCTACTGCAGCGCCCGAACCATGCTGCGCTCCCCACAAATTGCCCCCCCTCTCAGTAAGCGGCAGTGATGCTCAGCATTGGGAAGCCAGTTGTGTGGCATCGCCCTGCCTGCGCCATCCCACTGACCACTGTTACTAGCTGCCAAGTGCCTAAGACCGATGCACTCCCTGATTTGGTTGTTAATGGAAGTTGCTCCTGTGGGAATGTTAAGGACTGTAGGAAAGGATATATTGAATAAGTATTATCCTTCCTCCAGGTAGCAGAGCAGATTCCCTTCAATATAGCAGGAAGCTAGTTTGCAGATTCATTTGAATCTCTTTAGTTAAGTAATCCAATATGGCTTGCCCAGATGGATTATTCCTGGTGTCCCCTTTTATCCCTCTTAAAAGAATAAAGATACAAGAGTCTTTCCTTAAAAGCAACAAGAAGTTCACTCACATTTCAGTTCACGATTAGGTCCCTGAAAGGCAGGCTTTACTTAGTAGTTACATAACAATCTGTGAGTTCACCTCACATGGAGCTTGAGCTCATGTGTTGCTGGCTGAGAGCCAACAGGCAGCAAAAATACATCAAGAGAACAAAATGGCTGCAGGAGAGCAGCATGGCATCAAGCGTGGGGAAAGCAAGAGATCAGCAAGAGTGAGAAATCAAGAGAGAAAATGGCTGCATGACTCGGCTCTTTTATGGAGTCAGCCAGCGCCATGCCCATCTCCCAGGGCACATGCAGGGGGAGGAAGCTCCAGATCAGTGGAACAGGAAGTTACGCTGATTGGAGTAACATCTGCCTGCCTGTGCCCACCCTAGGAAAATAAGGAATGTTGTACTTGACTGTTCCAATGGATTACATCCCACAGTTCCTTTTACTTTAAAAGAAGATACAGCAGCCAGACACATCTTAGGCAGCTTCCCCGCCTACCCACCAGGTCCTTCCCCAGTAACCTGAGGCATCTTTGTCTTGTCTCTCTTTGCTCCACCCTCTTCATTCCTCTCTGTGTTCTGGGAGACCAGTGGAGAGGGAAACTGCTCACAGCAGGAGGTGGAGACTCCCTGACTTCTTCAGCAGTCTACCCCCATCTCCTCTCCAGCCTACGCTTCTGCCTCTGATTCTGGACTGCCCTCTGCCACAGTCTCTTCCTGCTCACTAAACCCTGTTGCCACTTAGCTTCCAACGCCTTCTCATCCCAGTCTGCTGTCTGCTCTCTCTTCTCCCCCTGACCACTCATCATTGTTCCACCACCAGTCCCCTGGCTTTGAGCCTTCTTCCCCTGGGGATTCTCTTGGGGGGTTCCCCAGCTGGTGCCTCCCACCACTCCTCTGCATCTGGCCAGTCCATGCTGTAGTTCTGGTCCTTCCAATTGTCCTCTAAAAATATTGGCAGCCATAATAGCTTTCAATAGGTTTCTGATAAATCAATCTTATGGGCATCATGGCCCAGGAAACTCCCATAGTTTTCCCGCTTCCATCAAAGAGCGGTATGTATTCCCGGAATATCTGCATTTCCTGGAATATCTCACCAAGCCCAATAAACAGGTGGGACTCTAGAGCAAATATACAAGAAATGGCATCAAAGAAGTGGGCATATTAAATGTGGGCAAATAAATAGAACAGCCAATTAGGTGATGAGTTGTTGGTTAATGCCAAGTAAAGCTGGTCGGCAAGAGAAGCCACAATCATACATTCTTAATTTGATGGCTGGAAACAGTTCAGGAAGCATTTCTAATGTGCATTTTCCTCCTTATCCATGGAGACAGTGGTTAATAATCAAAATGCTTTCACAAGTAATATGCTTCCCTGACACAAAAGTGGTCAGATGCATTATTTATGAAGATTAGCTGGCTAGATCTCTTCCCGGAAATAAGTTTACGTAAGATTGGTTCCTGAGACAATCATCAAGAAGAAAATATTGGTAGAGTCTGAAGCTGCCGTTTAAAAAACCTAGTCATTATTCAAATTCTTTTTTAGTGTTCATATATATTTTTTTCCTTTCGTATTAGACATTTCTGACACTATACAATTCATGTCCAACTGATTATTGCATTTTTATGGGAACTTTTCATCAGGCCAAGAAAGGCCACCGCAACATGAGTGAAACAATCATCGATTTAATAAGCCTCCAATTTTCTAAGGCACAAACCTGCTGATTAGATGGAAGCCATAGGACCCCCTTTCCTGCAGAGCACAGGAATTGCTTGGGAATATAAGGGGTAAGATTATCTTTTAGGTCTTTAGAACTTGACTGGATTCCTGAACCATTGATCTTTCTTGCTGCCAAGACCAATTGAGTTACACTCAACAGTAAGTTAACAGGAGATAAGGAGGGGAAGATGTAATGGAGTGTAAATAGAGTCTTTTAGTGAGACGCCATTTGCTCAGGAGTTTTAACAAGTTCATTGAGTGCCATTACGACTAAGTACACATTGTACCTTCAAAGTACACTGAAAGCTCATTCTTTCCCTCAAAGAATTCTGGGCACTTCAGGTTGTTAAGAGCTGCTGAGAATGGCAACTCTGGGAGTGGTAAACTACAGTGCCCAGAATTCTTTGAGAGAATGTCTTTTGAATGTGCTTTAAAGGTACAGCCTTTAAAAGATACCTGTTGAACACTTTGTAGGCATCTGTTGCCATTTGGAAACATCCTTACTCTGTAGCCAAACATTCATGACATTTGGATCATAGACAGCTCTGTGATCTATGATTTCATGACTGCATTCCATTATCCGTTTACGGGGGGTCTAGAATGTCCCTATAAACAATAAAGCCAGTTTTAGATTCACCCTTTCTGTCCCCCAAGTGAATATGAAATATATTTTTCCATTGTTTCTCAGCATTCCTAAAATGAATGTTTTGGTGGTGAAGAAATGTGAGTCAACTTCATGTTTTATGTTCCATATCTTGCCCCCCCTCCCCCCCAAAACCCCATCCATTATTCTATTTCTGTTGCTAAGAGAAAGGGAATTGTTGCCAAGTAACAAATATCTGTGTCCAGCACGTACCAGTATGTTCTGTGTCGCATACGAAATGCAACCCCCTCTGTCCCCAACAGTTCTCAAGGACAAGAAGAGAGTCAACCGTACATCACAGTCTAGGTGGGGAAGGAGCATTTAGTGGGCCTTTGTGATTCAGAAAGACTCAACAACAACACAATCTGCCTAGGACTTTCTGGAAAGGTGTGCACGGTTAGGTTGGGTGCTAAGTGACCGCCTCCTAAGTAAAGCTGATGATGCTAAAACAGTATCATTGCACATCTGTTTGCCTTATGAGAGACACCCCATTGGCAGAATCCCTTCCCCATCAGGACTATAGTCATTTCATTGCCAGTCCAAAGCTTATTTATTTGCGAAGGCACGTTAAAAGTTTGAGAGTTGTCTGTTTGTTTGCTCTACTTGTTTTTTCTCCCTGCCGTCAGTATAGAATGATATGTTTGTTTTATGTATTGCAGGGAAAGCCAACCTGGTGCCCTCCAGACATTGTTGAACTCCACAGTTCCCATCAGCACCAGCCAACGGTCAGGGATGGTGGGAGTCACTGGAGGGAAACTTTCTAGGGTTTCAGGCATGGCCTTCTCCCAGACGTACCTGAAGATGCTGGGGTTTCAACTTGGGGCTTTCTGTGTGCAAAGCTGATGTTCTACATTCCCATTTCTTTTCTCACATATACTTCCTTGGTATCTATGAAGATGAAATGCAGTTTATTCTACCACGGAGGAGGAGGAGGAGGAGGAGGAGGAGGCAAAGTATTTATTACCTGTAGAGTGATTTCAGTTTTACATATCTGAAGAGCCAATTTCTGTTTTCCTTTGGTCCTGGAGATCCTCTGAGGATGCTGTCCAAGAAGTATCATCTGTATCAAATCATATTTTTTTTTAAATAATATTTATTAATTTTCAACCATTTAAACACAACAAAACAGAAAGACAAAAAAAGAAAGGGGGGGGGAAAGAAAAACATGAAACTAACAAAACAAGACACAAACCATTTCAAACACAGAACAATTTCAATGTCTTATCTTTCATTCCCTTATTTCCACGACCTCCTCACACCTCCCTTTTTGTATTCCACTTCTATTAATTATTTCAGCAATTCCTTTCCATCTTCCTCTGTTTTCTATCCTATAATTATCTTAACATATTCTAACCTTATTTTCCCTTTAATACACTATTAATCTATTTATACTTGATTCCTTATAGCATTTCTACTAAAGCCATATAACTGTTGGTTTCTATTTCCCTCACTGAGCAGCAACTGCAGTCACAAGACATTGTTTTGCATTCCACAGTCTGTACTGTTGGAGTTTCTCACGGGAAAGGGAGACTGGATGTGACGTACACTGGTTTCCTGTTTTTCACTGTGTGATTCTCTCCAAGCTGTCGAGGAGAGAGGATGCATTTTCTGCTCCTGCAGAGGCAAGATGTCTTTCTGTAATATACCAGCTTTGAACTGTAAATAAAGCAATATAGAGTATGCAGCACGTATTCCTCATCCTTCCGCTGGGCACGACAGACTCTGCTTTAAATCAACACGTGGTTATGGGCTCCAGAGGTCGAATCGGAGTGCCGGCAAAGGATCGGAATGCAGAGGGACGGATCGGAAAGGAATCTGCTCTGCGCGTAGAAGTGATTGATGAGGTATGTGCTACTGCTCCGGGCAGCCTGCCAGCTTCAAGATAATGGCTTTATGGCTGGACTTTGAACTTTTAAAGCCGGTTTTGCCGGGAATAGGCAAAAGGCTCCCAGGCACAAGTCACTATGCTGGGGAAATCGAAAGTAACTTTTAAGTGTGCCTTTGTAATGAGGCAGCTGCAGCAGTGACGCAGCAAGATTTAAAGCAGCATATAATGACGCTGAAGGCTAATGCCAGAGTCATGATGGCCCTTCAGGATGCTTGTGGGATTCCTAAGCTCAACAAGAAAAATTACAGCGACTGGGTTCAGTATGCAGAGGCAATTCTGCGGAAGAGGGTTTGTTTGAGGTGATTACAGAAACCCCCCCAGTTCCAGTTACAGATGCATGGGAAGCTAAGGATTCCAAAGCAAGGGGAACTCTTACATTGATAGTATCCCCAGAAGAGCTCTGTCTATTGCGTGATAAGACCTCAGCCAGAGAAATTTGGGACGCTCTGAGAGGGCTCACTTAAGGACAGAAGCTGGATCCACTATGTTTTATTTTAACAAGCTGCATAATATGGCTCTTGCTGAAGGTGGAGATGTGCGTTTACATCTGATGCAGATGCAAAATCTGAGACATGAGCTGCAACAGAGAGGACTCAACTTTCCAGAGGCTGTGTATTCTTTCATGATACTACAATCTTTGGGTTCAGGTTGGGAGTCTGTTGCAACCCAGATTGCTGTGCAACCAACTGCTCAGCTGACAGTGGACTTTGTTACTGCCGTGATTTTAAATGAAGCAGATCGCCGGGGTGCTAGCTGCATGGGCAAGGGGAGTCTTCACAGACGTCATCCCATAGTGCAGTGGAACCACCAGATGGCGCCAAAGCTTTGAAGGCAGTGAAATGCTACTCGTGTGGACGTCTAGGCCATATGAAGAGGGAATGCAGACATCCCAGGGCCAAGACAGAGCAGCGCAGCGAAGCTCATCGCGCGGAAAGGCCGAGGCAAAGGCAAAGGTCCGGTGTCTAGGACAACGCAGCACAAGGCTATGGTTTCACGCTTCACTCCAAAGGTTGCAGAGGTCCAGAAGACGTCTAGATCTTTCTTCGTTGTTGATTCAGCGGCCACCCACCACATGTGCAACGATAAGAAACTGTTTGTGTCTTTTACACCGCAGGAAGGTGCGATTCACCAGGCGGATGACCACACTATTCCCAGTAAAGGCTACGGAACTGTTGTTCTTCACAGTTTGGACTTATCGATACAGAATGTGCTTTACGTGCCAGACGCCAAACATAATCTGCTCAGCGTTGGACAGCTGAATGAGCGGAACATTGACGTTTCCTTCAAGAACAAGAAGTGCATCATCACAAAGAAAAATGATTATGTATTGCATGCAGAATATGTTGATCATTTGTTTGTTTTGTATTATGATGATGTGGTGCAGGATGACACTTGTTGCATTGCAGGTTCTAACAAAAGTTTGCATGCAGAATGTATTCACGATTTTCATCGCAAATTTGGTCATTTGCATTTTGAGGCAGTATCTAAAATGCCTGCCTTGGTTGAAGGTATGACTATTAAACCCTGCAGGTACCACATGAAGTGCAAAGCATGCGCAGCAAACAAAGTGAAAATGGCTGCGAAAGGTAAGGTGTCTAGTAGGAAAGCTACAGAACCATACCAGGTTGTTCATGCTGATTTGGTTGGACCACTAGCGCCCTCTTTGGGTGGAAATAGATACTTCATGGTTCTCATTGATGCATTTTCTAGATATATTTTTGTGTACAATCTCAAGCAGAAATCAGAGGCTTTTCCTAGGTTCAAGGAATTCTGTGCTTGGTTGGAAAATGTGCATGGTAAGAAGATAAAGACTCTTTTCAGTGATCGCGGGGGGGAATTCACTTCTCAGCAGTTTGAAGCTTTTCTGACTGAGAAAGGAATTCAACACGATTTGTCTAGTCCTCGCTCGCCATGGCAGAATGGACTTGCGGAGCAGACAAATCAGACATTGCTTCAAGGGTTAAAAACCTTGCTGCATGATGCCAATCTTCCAGAGAGTTATTGGGCCGAATCTCTCTCGTGTTTTGTTTACAGTTACAATCGCAGGTTATCTTCAGCGATTGGATGTACCCCCTATGAGAAGATGTTTGGCAAGAAGCCATACATCAAACACATGAAGATTTTGGTTCTGACATGTGGGTTCACTCACCACAAAACTCCAAGTTAGACAAGCGTGGATTGCATGGTATCTTTCTAGGTTATCAGAAAGGGTCTTACAGAATAATGATGACTGACTCTAAGACAATTAAGCTCACGAGAAGTGTTGAGTACAATGCAAAGTGGGGGAGAATGTGGGAATTTTCCAATGTTATCCTGATGACGGTGATGAGACTGAGGATAGTCAAAAGCAACCACAACAGCCCACACCCACTGATGAAGGTTCTGAGTCTGAATCTGAAACTGAATCGGGTGATTCAGAGGATTTCAAGAGTGCGAAAGCCTCTATGCGACCCTCTGAAAGCTCTGATCAAGAATTGGAGGAACCATTGTTCACAATAGGTCGTTTTTCTCCTAAGAAGGAAGAGGAGAGTGTTGAAGACTTAAGGCTAATTCGTAGGTCACAGAGAGCCACAAAAGGCAAACCTCCAAAGAGATTTGCTGATGAGTTTGCTAAGATAGCAGTAACAGCTGTTAAAAGCTCCAAGAAGGTATTTGAACCTTCAAGTTTCCAAGAAATCCAGGGTTTGGATTCAAAGGAAGCTGAGCCATGGTTAAATGCCATGAAGGCTGAGCTTGATTCCTTAGAAAGGAACAAAACATGGGAGCTAGTTCCAGTAGTTCCAGGAATGAAACTGCTTGGAAGCAAATGGGTCTTCAAAGCGAAGACAGATCAAAATGGCAAGATAGTCAGACACAAAGCCAGATTGGTAGCCAGAGGTTTTGCACAGGTACCAGGTGAAGACTATCACGAGACCTATTCACCCACAGTGAGATATGAAAGCATTAGGCTTATGCTTAAGCTAGCTGCAGAGGAAAATCTACACATTAGTCACCATGATATTAATACAGCTTTTCTGTACGGATCTCTAGATGAATCACTTTATATGCTTCCACCTGATGGCGTACAGGTAAAACAGGGATTTGTTTGTGCTCTGAAGAAATCCCTTTATGGTCTCAAACAAAGTGCACGGTGTTGGCACACAAAACTCACTGAAGTATTGTTTTCTCTAGGTTTTCAGCAAGGGAAAGCTGATCCATGTGTATTTGTCAAGAGGAGGCGCAAAAGAAACTGTACACTTTGTATTATGTTGATGATTTATTATTCTTTGGGAAAGATGTTGCAATGTACAATAGCGCCTAGCTCAACTGAAAGAGCACTTTGACATGAAAGATCTTGGTGAGGTAAACAACTACCTATCTCTGGAAATAGAGAGAGATCAAGATGGTAACATTCTAGTACACCAGTCACGGAAAATTGCTGATGTGTTAAGCAAACTAAATCTGATGGATGCTAACCCTGTAGACACACCGATGACAACAGGTTATCAGGTAGATGACACTGAAGAAGCATTTTCTGACACTACACTGTACAGGAGTGTGCTAGGCAAGCTAAACTTCATTGCCAGATGTTCAAGACCAGACATTGCTGTTAGCTGTAATTTGCTAAGCAGACAAGTCAACAATCCTAGTGTCAAGGATTGGAAAGCTCTGAAACGCATAGCGCGGTATTTGAAAGGCACTATGCATTACAGACTGAGATTTAACAATCAGAAGTCTGGTGGTCTTGAGATATTTGCAGATGCAAGTTTTGGAAGTGACGCTACAGACAGGAAAAGTACGTCTGGAGTTTGCTATATGTACAATCAGAGTCTGTTTGATTGGTCATGCAAGAAGCAAACAACAGTTAGCTTAAGTACTTGTGAAGCTGAACTGAATGCACTGTCTTATTCACTTAAGGATTGTGAATGGTTGTTACAATTGTGCAAAGATATGAAAATTCCTGTCAAATGTCCAATCCAGGTTTACCAGGACAACAAAGCATGTTTGGCTTTGCTGAAGTCTGAAGGTTGTAAGCAAAGCACAAAGCACTTACAATTAAAGTTGCAGCATGCTAGGGAATGTATTCAGAAGGGACTCGTAACGGTGTCCTATATGCCAGGTAATGAAATTCCTGCTGATGTATTGTCCAAGATTGTATCAAGGGATCAACACTGTACCTATGTGCAGAAGTTGGGTTTGTACTGATACTGTACGAACACGCTGCCCAGTGATGTTCACAGAAAGGGGAGGATGTTGGTTTCTATTTCCCTCACTGAGCAGCAACTGCAGTCACAAGACATTGTTTTGCATTCCACAGTCTGTACTGTTGGAGTTTCTCACGGGAAAGGGAGACTGGATGTGACGTACACTGGTTTCCTGTTTTTTCACTGAGTGATTCTCTCCAAGCTGTCGAGGAGAGAGGATGCATTTTCTGCTCCTGCAGAGGCAAGATGTCTTTCTGTAATATACCAGCTTTGAACTGTAAATAAAGCAATATAGAGTATGCAGCACATATTCCTCATCCTTCCGCTGGGCACGACAGACTCTGCTTTAAATCAACATATAACTTCATTCCAACATTTTTCTAACATTCATTATTTTTACAGTCTTAAACTTTTTCCAGTCTTCTTCCACCAACTCTTCTCCCTGGTCTCGGATTTCTGCCAGTCGTTTCTGCCAATTCCATATAGTCCATCAACTTCATCTGCCATTCTTCCCGAATGGATAAATCTTGTGTCTTCCAGTACTTCACAATGAGTATTCTTGCTGCTATTGTTGCATACATGAAACAAATTCGATCCTTCTTTAACACCAATTGGCCGACCATGCCCAGGAGAAAGGCCTCTGGTTTCTTCAAAAGGGTATATTTAAATACCTTTTTCATTTCGTTATGAATCATCTCCCAGAGTGTCTTAATCCTTGGGCATGTCCACCAAAGGTGGACTCTAATCCTCAAATTCGTCTGTTTTTCTTTAAGTTCAGTCATAGCAAGCGTCAACTTATGTTCATCCAATTGCCTCTGTAGGGCTGGGGCTCTCTTTCTCTTTCTCTCCAGTTGTGTTACTCCACATTCAGCAATGACGGCTTTTTCCCTGGCTTCCTCCGCAGTTTGCCATATCAAAGTAGGTTCCTGTATCAATTTCTGGATGGTTTCTGTATTGGTATTGTTTATACTTTCTGTATTTAAGTTAATTTTAGTAATTGGAACATCCACTTTCACATTTATCGTGTCCATTTTCCTGTGAAGCTGATCCAATGAGTCATTTATCTTATATAATGCAGCCACTAAAGCCTCTTCTGTCGACATTCCTCTTAGTTTTAAATATACTAGCACAAAGACAGCAACAGAAAGAACAGGAGGGCCTAATGATAGACCTCTCCTGGATTGTTACCAAGTCCTCCCAGACCTTAATGTTTTGTCAGCAGTTGACTGGTCTGTTTTTCCTCTTCCATTTACCATAACATTTAAAAGATTCAAGGTCAGTCCCAGAGTCTCACGGTTTTTAACTTGCAGCTGGAAATTTCCCTAGTCCAACTCTTGTAAAGCAACCAGTTTCAAAGGCTTCCACTAGGGGGAAACAGTTTCTATTTGTAATAGTCAATAGTATCCTCTTTTAAACAATCCAAAATTAGTTTCAAATTTGTTTCAATTTTCAGTTACTTTTACTCCTTTTTAAAGCAGCCGGAGACAGTAGAAACAATGTATTTCTCTTATTTAACTAGCTGTCAATGAACGTTCTAAGCACTGTCAATGAACATTCCAAAAGACGTCAGTCCTACTAGCAGCCCGTTTCCAGGGTCAGAGCGGCGGTGTTTTAAGTCTCTTCGCTCTTTCCTGCAGGCATACTCAATCCGCAACTTCCCCCTCTCTTCTCCTGCCTCCAAGAGGGGGTTTAATGTTCTTTACCGTTGGAACTTTGATCTTTTACAAAAGACCTTCCAGGACTCCAGCTTACAACTTCATTGCCTCAGTCTATTTACAAAAGGGGGAGGCGGACTTCCTGTTTTGAACCTCCCCGTTACGGTACCAAATTAAACATTTAGAAATCCAATTCTTCCGCTCTACTCACGGGTAATTACTTTAAAGTCAAATTGTCCACAGGAAAAGGTCAGCACTCACCGGCAACAGCTATGCGGCTTCGCTCTGTGGAAGAAGCAGACGATTTGATGCACCGCGCCGCTCACCCCACGTCGCTCCGGAGCCCCAAAAACCGGGGTTCCCCGCGAGTGGGGGAGGCGCAAAAGGTGCCCGCCGAATCCCACGTTCACAGGCTTCTCCCGCCTGTGATTTTAACAGGTCTCCGCCTTCACCGTGGCGGCCAGACCCAGATTCCCACGGAGCAGATTCCTCCCGGTCAGAGGAATTCAGCCATTACCAGAGGCACCTCCCCGGAAGTCCCCCATCATCTGTATCAAATCAGAACATCAAGGACATAGGTGGAGGCATTCTCGATCTTGGCTGTCAATAAATCTCAGTCTTGCTATGTAGCTTTGGAAACAATACAAAACTTCTCCAGTTTAAGACTTGCTTATAGTGACCAATAGTAAAAAGACAACTAATGTTAATGTTTCTGATTTTTGTACCATTTCCTTTGTGAAAATACTATGGTTTGATTTGTACTGTTCTCTTTTACAGGATCTTGCATGTCTGGGTTGGCTGTATCCATTTTAAATAAATGAAATAAATATTGATAATTAAGCACCCCCACCCAAGTAATAATAATGCATTGCCACCAATGCTAGTCCTTCTCAGATGAGACCCATTGAAATTCATAGGTATAACTAACTTGGGCTCAATTTATTTCAGTGGATCTACTCCAAGTTTACAGCCCAATGTATTTTTTATAGCATTTATGTCTGAACGAGGATGAGTCCCACCCTAAAGGCACTTACATTTTAGAAAACCTAGAAATAAGGGAAACAACAGAAAAAGAGGGAAATGGGGCCAGGGGGTGACTGGGAGGAAATATGTCATTGTTTCAGTTAGGCATAATTAGGTTTAGCTATAGTAAAAGTAATGGAACTAGGAGCCTGTTTAGAGGAACACAGAACAAACCTGCTAGTTCAGGCAAATGGCCCATCTAGTCCAAAATCTTGTTCTCACAGTGGCCAACCAGATCCCACTGGGAATCCCAGAACTGTATGCAACAATGATGTCTCCAACAAGTTGCATACAGAGGCACACTGCCTCTGACAGTGTCCACAGAGGGAAGAAAAACATGCTACAGGGGTGTGTGGTTGCCCCATCTTCTTTTGCAAAGTGTTGCAGCAATTAAAGTCAAGGAGACCGTGTCAGAAGCATTCCAAGGGCTTATTATTACAATTACTATTATTATTACTTTGGGACGTGGGTGATGCTGTGGTCTAAACCACAGAGCCTAGGGCTTGCCGATCAGAAGGTCAGCAGTTTGAATCCCTGCTATGGGGTGAGCTCCTGTTGTTTGGTCCCTGCACCTGCCCACCTAGCAGTTCAAAAGCACGTCAAGTGCAAGCAGATAAATAGGAACTGCACCGGCGGGAAGGTAAACGGCGCTTCCATGCGCTGCTCTGGTTTGCCAGAAGTGGCTTAGTCATGCTGGCCATGTGACCCAAAAGCTGTCTGCAGACAAACGCCAGCTCCCTCAGCCTACAGAGTGAGATGAGCGTGCAACCCCAGAGTCACCCACAACTGGACCTAACGGTCAGGGGTACCTTTACCTTATTATTATTACTTTACAGTAAAGTTGGGTTTTGAGGAAGATTTGAAGGAAGGAAACTGGTCTCTCAGAGAAGCGTTCTGGGAGGCAGTTCCAGGCCTAAGGGGAAGCACAGGAGAAAAAGCAGGATTGTCTTGGGGAGGTGATGAGCAAAGGTCACAGGTAGCCGATGTGTCAGGATATAGCAGGGGGGAGAGATGGCAGAGAGCAAGGCCAAGGGTTGTTCTCTCTCTCTCTCTCTCTCTCTCTCTTTGTTAGAAGTGCTTTTCCACTTTGAAAGACAAAAGCAAACCCAGAGTGATGTGCAAAAAAGCAAAAAGAGAACACTTCAAATGCAACCTTTAAAAAAAGCAATATGAAAAGTACAGAAAGTCAGACAGGGAAATGTCACTTCATGATTATGCTTCTCTCTACTTTGATTTTAATTTTCAACATGCTTTTTATGTGCGCGGAGCTTAGAGGTGTTGTTATCTGTGTCACTTATCTAACAAAGTAGGATGTTCTCTGACCCGTCACTTTTAACAATCCCTGCATTTTCCCTCTTGTTTCTTTTTTAGAAAACAGAACGTGGCTCGCTTCTTATAGCATGCATTTGCTTATTATCAAAACAGTCCACCTGTTCAGTCCAGATGGCGCACGCTCTGTCAGTGCCTGTTAATTAATAAGTGTTCTCAGTTGGTAGAAATAGCAGAAGTAACCAAAATTGGATTTGAGTCCAGACATTCACATTGTTTTAATCTTCATTTTAATTTTTTGCCTTGTTTAGTACAGTTTCTTAATGATGTATGACTAAATTAGTTTCCCCAAACTTTAGAAAAACTAATCTTAGATGTATCCAGCTTGCGTCCTTAAAAATGCTGTGAGTTTTCTCACACGCCACTAACAGCAGTCACATAGATATGAAGAAGGAAATAAGAACCACCAAGCTAGATATGGCAGTAAATGCACAACTCCTCAAAATGGCAATTGTACTGCCTGCCTAGCTCTATGAATATGACTTTGCACAGAGAATATTGCAGAGGTGTGCTCTGTTTTCCATTGGCTCCTGATAAATTCCCAAAAGCAGGTGGAGTCCTTTAAATGTATAAGACCACTAGTCTGGAGACAATTAGTCAGTTAAATCCTCACCACCATACATAATTTGAATATATTACCATAGCATGCATGCAATTTATAGAATTGCTTAAAAAATGAGGAAACACATGGCAAGCCTTTTAGACTGAAATGCCCTCTGAAAATATATTAAATATATTAGATATTATTAGAAAGTTGAAATACTCTACTGCAGATTTCCTCAACCTGTTGCCTTCCAGATGTTTTGGATAACAACCCATCCGACCCAGCTAATACATCCATGCTGGCAGGGACTGATGAGAGTTGTAGTCCAAAACAGATGGAGGGCACCAGGTTGGGAAAGGCTGCTCTAAAGAAAGCCTGCTTTTTTGTTCTTCTGCTTGGCACCTTGCAAAATCTCTTTTGTCTTCAGATCTCATTTTGAAGAAGAGACAAGCAGATCTGATGAAGAGGTTGTTGCAATTGGCTGCTATCGGTGATGGGCTATTGTTGCTTGAATGGACCAGTTTTATTGTTTCTTGAATAGGCATGCCATTAATGATTGCGCAGGTTCTTAACCACGGAACAGAATAGTTTTGTAATGAGTGATCACACTACGATGTTAAGTATAGTGAGGGGAAATAGTTTTTAAAGCCTCTTTTTCTTTTGGGAGGAGAAATTGTACCATTGCATTAGACCTGGGAAACGTTTGGGAAGTGGCAACCAAAATAATCAAGGGTTTTGCGCAACTCCTTCATGAGGAAAGCTTACAACATTTGGGGCATTTAAATTTAGGAAAAAAGCCAAGTGAT